TTTAATCCTTACATTTCTTAGTTGTCCACTGTGCAAGCTTAAAAGACTATTAGCCGTACCACACATCGGAAAATGAACAAAATCGTGCCACTGGGTGAGGGAAAACGGGACGTAAGGAGTTTTAAAATTAGCGTTAGCAGCCAGCTAAACTCCAGCAACTACCACGCGTCCAAGCTAGCCGTGACAAGCTAACGCTAGCCGTCGCCCCCTCACCTGGGTCCCCTTGCCGGCACCGGGCGGCCCGAGCAGAATGGCCCGGATGCCCTCGTGCACGTCGGCCATCGCCTCTTTGAGCTGCGCGCTAGGAGCCATCAGCAGGAGGAGACAAATGACCAAAAGAGAAACTTTGGCCCAAGTCTGGCAGACGTCGTTCAACAGCTGACAGCTCAGCCAGGTCAGCAAGGGAAAAGGACGCCTCCTCGCTTTCTATTGGATGAAAAGTACAAAAGCACAGCCCATCACAGAAAAATGACCTTTTCTGATTGGTGCAGTCTTTTGCCTGTTAAATAGCTCATGCGATGATTGGATGAAAGTAAAATCACGTTATTCAAGGTGCCTCACCTTTTTTTAAATCGCAAATTAAAGTTTATCCACTTTTCGAACGCAAAGCTCACTTTCTGTTAGTTTTATAGTATTTAGGAGGAAAAATTAAATAAGTCAACCAATACACTATATGGATGAATTAATGTGAAATGTATAATTGCCTAACCATTTTTAATTTACTGTGTCGATCTCAATTGAAAAAATACCTTTTTTTTCAACTTTTTTCCTTGTTTTCCGAAATAAAAATTCGCCAACTACCGAATGCTATTAAGGTAACAAAATGTCCATTGATCAATTCGATTAAAGATTAAAAAGTTATATCAAACCTATTTGTAATTTACAATAGTTGCATAGATTTTTTTTTTTTGTATTTGTTATTCTGTAATGTAAAGGCAGTCATTTTCATCTAATTGCACTATGATTGTTCTGGTTTTGCTTCGTTGTAAAAGTGAGATTTTGTTAAAAATAAAGTGCTGAATCTCTCTTTCTCTCTCTATACAGTATATATATTTTTAGGGCAGTAGCTAAATCAATCAGATATTATATATTCCCGCTCACAAAATGGTTTATTCCAGGACAATTTTTTAATTGCGTCATACTTTGATCATCACCCAATTTTAGCACCTCTATCTGTGTTTTAAAATGTCTATTTTGCTTTTTATCAAATTTATAGGTCAAGTCAATTTTTTGCTTCCTGTCAGAGGTCATGATCACGCTCCACTAACTTAATAGTGTTACAAGAAGTGTTTTTTTTTCTTCCCCCCTTTCTCTGTTTTCTGGCAACTGGCCATCATCCCGCCTCTTGGGTATAATTCTGCTGATCTTGCAAGACTCTTTCGGCACCAAAAAAAGGAAGTGGTACTCAAGACGACAACAAACCATCTGATTTTGATGATTAATGTACCTTCCTCATGTAAGCCTGAAACTGGAAGACAGTCAAGTAAAGATCGAAATACTTTCTTCACGGTGCAAAAATGCCCGAGGGTGACGTTCTCTACTCGGACTTGGTTTTTGTAAAATCTCGGGGAAATGGCGGTAAGGGTGAGTGTTGAACAATGAGTACATCTGTTGTGGATTCATTTGCTATATATGCATAAAACTGGATGAATTTGGTTGGACAGATGCAGCCTTGTCATCATCTGAAACAAACTACGCCTTGGTCAAGGAGGCAAAAACGCAGTTGGAGCCACAGCACGGTCGGTGACCACCTCAAATTTTGTCATGTTCATTTTCATAAAAATAATAATCTAATATATCAGAATAAATTAAACTCACAAAATTCTCAGTGGCGAGACGGCTAACTGTGAAAGAAAAAAAGAGGAAGAAAGAGGAAAAGTCAATGTAAATTTTTCAGTCAAGTGCGTGAGATTTTTCTTTCAAAAGTTAGCAGCAGCATTTAATTTAAAAAAAAAACATTTTGAAAATGATAAAAAATATGAATAGACCACTCAGAAAGCACAAGAGAAATAGAAATATTATATTCAGTACAAAACGTTTCACATGAAGGACAAGCAGATCCCCCGTGGAACACAATCTTTGCCAAATGTTCCACTGTGTGACAGTCATTCAGTTCTACAATTGATTGCGTATTTGTCACTGGGTTTATGTATAAATAATAGAGTAGACCAACGTGGTGACCATTGATTTGTGCAAAAAATGTATATTAAATTGACCAAATGTTGACAGGGGAGATTTTTTTTTTGAGAGCAGCAGTTAATAGAAATATTTCTAGAATTGATTATGTTGTCTTTCACATCCTATATTTTTACAAATTCATGAGAATAGAGATATTCTCTATACAGGACATAGAGATTTACATGAAAGACAAGGGGATTTAGAATGGATCCCTGTGGTACACCATCACTGCCTAATTATGTTACAATGTGTGTACAATTGTACATGTCTGTATATTTATGTGTGTGTGTGTGTGTGTGTGTGTGTGTGTGTGTGTGTGTGTGTGTGTTTTGTATATCCCAAAACAGGTAAGACGACAGTGAGGGCAAAACTGACGTCGGAAAGAGTGGCCTTAGTGGCATTGTGCGTTTTCCTGGTGCTGGCGCTTGTCGCTCTTTGTTACGTCTGTGAGTTGTTGCTCTATTTAGCAATTTAGCATATTAAGGGACATCATTTATTCATCATGGCCGCCTCGTTTCTTGCAGTTTACCAGAATGTTCAAATTAAGAAGAAAATCCAAAATCTGAAGGCTGAGCGCGAGGAGTGGAAAGCCAGTCAGTCAGAGACAATGAGTGAGTAAAAACCTGTTGTGGAATACATACAGCACTAGCGGAACATATAACTACCGGTAGTCTCATCAGCTTAGTCAGCTGAGCTTTCTAGCGTCACAGATAATTATGGTTAGCATTTTGTCTAAGATGCTAACAGCAGCAGAGAGTGCTCGCCCGAATTTATGACTAAATGTACAACAGCACACCTTTTATCCCTCGCATGACTGGCATGCATTAGCATTTCGAGTTAACCACAACTTACCATATAGTCTCTGTCATCTTCCAAGATAGCGTCTGCTGGAGATGTGACCCAGGTTGGGAGCTTCACGGAGAAAGCTGCTACTGGTTCTCGACCAGCACGTCAACCTGGGAACTGAGCAGATATTATTGCCGGCTTCAAAGTAGCGACTTAGTGAAGATCGACAGCCATGATGAGCAGGTGCCACAGCCGCCGTTTTGGGTTCCTGGCATAGGTCAATTCGTCGACAAGTTCTGCCTAGCAACAAATGACCCAAGCAATTCCTTTGCAAACACGGTGGCCAAACTAACCTTTTATTGCTCCTTCCCGATGCCGCAATAAGCTAAAATTCTTCACTTGTTTCACAACTCACCTTTAATTGCACCCTCAGGGGAGTGGGTATTTCAACGCCCACACTTTTGCCAACAATAGAGTCCAACATCCACACTTTCCCTGGTAAAAGCGATCAACGCCTACACTTTTATAAGAAAAGTGGTCAACACCAACCCTTTCCATCACTCCTGATGTGGGCGTTTCAACACCCACATTTTTGACATAAAAGCAAACACCCAGACTGAAAGAACCAACAGGGGACGGAAGCGATTCTACACCCACACTTTTGCCAGTGAAAGTTTTTAACACCCGCTTTATTCCCAGTAAGAGGGATCAAGACCAGCACTTTTCAACTCACCCACAGGGAAACGGCGATGTTTCAGGAAGCAGATTTTCCAGTCAAAGCGTTCAACACCCATAACCTTGTGTTGCCCCTACACAAGATGTGGGTGTTTCTGTTCCCACATTTTTCAAGAAAAAGTTTCAAGTTCCACACTTTTCCTGGTAAATGAGCACAACACCCACTCTTCTAGGGAAATGGGATCAAGATCCACACTTTTCAGTCCACTTGCAGGCGACGTGTCACAACTTCCACACTTATGCAAGTGATTTGAGCACCCGCACTTTTCATTACACCCTCAAGGGGTGTGGCTGTTTCAACCCCCCCTGACACCCGCACTTTGTCTAACCTGATTAGAGCTTCGTGGAGAGGAAACTGAGGGACAAAATGGTCTTCCAGGAGGACAAGTTCTGGATCGGCCTGACGGACTCCAAGGAGGAGGATCAATGGTTGTGGGTGGACGGCTCACCTCTTAATCTGAGGTAGGAATAGATAAAACATGGTTTCCATTTTTATGTGGGGGGGGCAAATTTCATCATTCGTGTCGCACATTTTGCTCAGTTTGAAATTCTGGGGGAGGAACGAGCCTGACAACTGGTCAAGGGAGGGGGCTGGCGGTGAGGACTGCGTCCGCATGGGCGAGAAGGATGGGGCTCATGACCTCCTGTGCTGGTTCGACAAAGCCTGTGACGCCCTGCAAAAGAGCATCTGCGAGAAGACGGCGCAGAGAGGACGGTCGTTATGCAATTTCCTCTGACCACAATTTCCCGTCGCGAACTCAAAATTTTGGTCAAAGTTACCTTAGGTGGCCTACCCGGAAAAACAGGAGGGCCTCTGAAATCAATTTCAGTCGACAGCGCCCCACAAAATATCCGTTTCCTTGGGATTGCTGAAAAGGGATGGATGGATGGATTCTTCCGTTTCAATTCTTATTCCACCAATCTAATATCAATCCAGATTAGCATTTTAAGACTAGTGAGGATGAAGCAAACCGACAACATTTTGACGAGACCCCCACTTTGATGCAAAACGTCCACCGAAAGACAACAGAGCTAAAAGTAGACATCCATCCTTAGAGGCTGAAGTGACTTATTGAATGTAAAACTTTTGACTGGAAATAAAGTGGCAAAAAGTTTTGTTTTTACATATATGCAATATTCAGATTCTTCTTTCACACATATTGAGGGGAAAAAAAAAGCTCATGTTTAACTTGAGCTAATAAACACCACCTCACCTGTACGGGATGTGGGTGTGTCGTTTTTTTTCTGAAACAGTTTCTGAAACAAACGGCAGATCAAAAAAAAAAAGTGATTAATCCAACTTCAATAGTTAACATTCACAGTTTTATTAAAAAAAAAGAAACAAAAAGGTCAATACAAAACGTCTGTCAAGGGATATATGAATGGATACATTTTTATTTGTACACTGCTAATAATTGAGGAAGGTCGTCACGTTTTGTCTTAAAAGGTGCTTTGAATCGCAACTTGGATGCGTTCAAGTAGTTTTACTCGGCAAGATGGTTCCGTTTGTTCTAAATTACACGGACTGGACATCATCTACTGCAGTGATTTTCCCAACCGCAACTGGTCGAAAAAAAAAAAAAAAGATTTTTCGATATGATGTATCTTCTGTCTATCCATGCCGGCGATGTATAGCAACAGGATGAACAATGAAATACGCCTCCACTCGGAAGCAGAAAGTAGTAATTAATTAACCAGTGTTCAGTCATTTAACATCAGAATAAAAGCTTCACGGGCCAAAATTTCACACAGAGTAAATTGGAGAGGACATGAAAAAGACGCCATGATTTCAGTATCATGTCATATCGTTCCCGTGATATTTTGTGCTTGGCGGCGTGCCATGAGATTTTTTTTTCAAAAGGTAAAATTTGGACCTTGGCTCAATACAGGTTGGAAAACACTGATCTACACCATGAAGGGAAAGAGGCGGTAACATGGTACAAAAAGAGGACAGTGTCATCTCACTGTCTAGTGACATTGGTCGGACCTTTATAAAGAAAAGATTATTAATATATTCCAAAAAAAAAAAAAAAAAGCTGATCGTGGAATTCCAACTGTGATTCCTTCGATTCGAAACAAGTTTTTGGAGGGGTCAGCCTTGCTCCCTTTAGTGTCACAGAACGTCTCGTCCTCATCTAATACGTAGAAGCTCGACCGCTGCCTTCAAGACACTTTTGATTCCGTCTCCTTGGTAAGAGTTCAGACGCGTCATGGCCAGTCGTCGTCATCGTCGTCGTCGCCTGCGCCTCTGCCACCGCCGCCGCCCTCGTCGTCTTCGGGGGCAAGCGTCCGCTCCCTGGTGGCCAAGTGCAGCTGCCGCACGGTGAGGATGCGAGTGAGCATGGCCTCCTTCGTGTCCTCGTCCAGCGGGGTGGCCGAGAACCACAGCGGGCTGTTGGGCACGCAGCAGCGTTCGGGCAGCAGGTAGAACACGTCGGTGCGCTGCTTGACTGTCTCCGAGCTTAACGGAAATACAACATATCGGGGGGGAACAAAAAAACAAAGTAAAATGATAAAATTATTCCCCAATTTTAATGGTACTGTTTTGGGAACCTATCTTTTGTTTTTCATTTTTCGCCGAGGAACGTCACTTAGACAAAAGGAATGCTTTGGCACCATTTTACTACATCGTGGTGCCAAGGAAACACGCTGAAGTGAATTGAGCAACGTCATTTTGACAAAAGTAGTGTTTTGCCAGGAATCTTGATGCCAAGGAAGTATGTTGATGTGAGTGGAGCGGCTTCATTTCGTTAAAAGTAGCACTTTGGCACCATCTTGTGGTATCTTGATGCGAGGAAAATACAGCCTTTGACCTGATGGGTAAAAATAACCCATCAGGGCAATAAATAGCCCCATTGGGCTATTTCAAACCCATATTGGGTGAGTTGAAAAACACTTTAAGAGTGCATTATGAACTGAGGGGAAAAGCTTCATAAATATAAAAAAATATATATACAGTATAGTGCTCTGGCGCCATCTTGTGGCATCCACAGGAACTTGCAATCATTATTAGGGGAGACATCAATTACGATCATGGAGGAAAAAAATGTGCAAAATGTCGAACTTGAGGATGATTTTAAATTTATAAAATAAATAAACAATGAACCAAATATTTCATGGGAATAAAAACTGATCCAATCGTCCGAACCCCTAGTTGACCGTACGGCTGCAACATTCTTACCACTTTGACAGGTAGAATTCGTAGAGTCGCACGGGACAGCGCAGAGGATTTTCCGTGTTCTCCTTCATCTCCAGGATCTTCTCCTCTTTCACCTCCGCCTCCTCCTCCTCCTTGCGCTTCTTGGCAGGAATGCCATCCAGATCTCAAGACGCACACGCGGGGGGTTACGAAAACGAAATCGCCATTCACCGCATGTGACGATCAATTGTCGGCCCGACCGGACTCACCATCGATGGGCGCGATGGGCGGGTAGAAGCGCAGGAAGGTGGTCTTGACGTTGCCCTGGGCGGTCTTGGTGCAGCGCATGACGTGGGCGAAGGAGAGCTGCCGGTGCTGCTCGACCGTGGTGAAGCCGAAGTTCTTGCAGAAGAAGTAGAGCAGCGTGTTGAGCAGCACGATGGGCGAGTACACGCCCAGCTGCTTGCAGTCCCACAGGAACTCCTCCTCCACACGCGAGTGGATGTAACCTGGCGGCCGACGGGAGACAGAGAAAATATGGGACCGTGGAAAGGACAAGCAAAGTGTTTCCCGAACAGCGCTTGGGAACAGAAAGCGGCCCCCCGCTTCACTTCGTCCGACTCACCCCCGGTTGTGAGAGTCGGTTGGAAGCCTCTGAGCATGTTGGTGAACTCTGTGGAGAACTTGCAGTAGAAGCTGTCCGTGAAAATGTTCTCCACGCGGCCGTTCTCAAACAGGTGCTGCGAAGGGGCGACGGGACAACGGGAGGTGAGCGAGCGACAAGCGCGCCTCACCGTCGGGGAGTTCGGACAGAGCGGGAGGGCCGGTCTTGCCTGCTGGATGCCGAGGCAGAGGTAGAAGAGGCTGTCGGCCGCGTACGGCTCGCCGGACGGCCGCTTGACCTCGGTGATGAAGCGGCACAGGCCGTAGCTCAGTTCGGCCGAGGTGCAGCGGAGGAGGTCTTCTTTCGGCACCAGGGGGCGCACTGGTCAGGGGGTAGGATCGCGTTTTTTTACCAACAAATAACGTCTGGGTGATTCATTGATTTCAAAGATGACAGTGATTACAGAAAGAAAAAAAAAATCAATCATTTGAAGGCTACGTTACCCTCCGGCCTTCGTCACAAATCCTGTACCCTCTCAAGAGCCGACTCACTTCCGATACGCGGCGTCTCCATGTCGGGCTGAGCGTCTCTCCAGCGGATCCATCGCTTCCAAGCATCCACGCCGTACTCACTCTTAAGCTTCGGGACTTTGGGGACGGAGCTCTTGGCGGCGGACCCTTTTTTGCCGGACACCTCGGCGCCCTTGTTTGACTTTTTACGACCCTGGTGAGCACAAAGAGAAAAGAGTCAACACGGCAGTTGTCGCTTTTGATGGTTTTAAAAAAATTGACAGCATTTGAGATGTGAATATAGGGGTGCGGTTACTAACAAGTCGAACTCATTCAGTACCAGCCAATTCTGGACCAAGTCTGAAAAGACGTTTAAAAAGCGTCTTTGGGAGTGAATGAGCTAATTAGTTCCATTCGTTCCACACTCATAACTAGGGCGCAACCGCGATCTCTTTGACGTTTGAACCGGGTTGTGTAGACTTTTGCAACCCACCGCACGTGTGGCAACGCTTACCCTCGTCTCTCTGGATTTCCGCGACGGTTGACGTTTCCGTGTGCCGGTGGGTGCGGGGCTGGCCGGCGGCGTGGAAGACTCTCGCTGCAGGGCCATCCTCTCCAAGGTCTCTAAGGGGGGGGCGGAAGTACGGCACGGCGTCAGAAACAAGTCTCGAGGGAGCCGAGTCGTCGTCATCAAAATCGGGTGACTGACCGATGGGGAAATCGGTTTCGACGTCCATGGGAGGTGAAGGAGCATTGGGCTCGTCCCAGCTGTTCAGCAGGCTGGCCAGGTCATCCGTATTCAAGTCGGTGCTCATCGCGTCTGTTCAAAAAGCAGCAGAGATTGGATGAAAAATCAAGAAAAACAATGAAAAAAAAAAATTTTTTTAAATCCCTGGAATTTTTGTTTGAAAACAAAAAGTTCCCGGGGTCAAAAATTCTGGCCCGTCTACCTCCGCCAGCAGCAATCTCTGGTCGCATTTCCCCCTCTTTGTCCGTCGCGCCATCGCCTCCGTTGGTCTCGGACACCATCTCCGCCATGAGAACGAGCTCGGCCTCGAACGGGTCCGCCGGGAATTTTTCCTTGATCTTCTTGATGGTCTCCACGATGCGGTCGGCGTTGTCCATGTTGACGGGCAGCAACATGGGCACGGGAAGCTGCGGGACAACACGGACGCGGGTCACGGACGGGAAGCGGAGCCGCTTGCCCTGTTGACCACGGAAGCGTTTACGTACAGGCAGGGGCACGCCCACGGGATTGGGGGTGCACTGGCTGTACATGTTCATGGGCACGGGGACGTACACCGGCACGGGAATGGGGAGGACCATAACCTTAGGTATGGACAAATCTACAGGGACAAGAGCAAGTGGGTAATGAAGGCAAATGTGCCATTTCATATCTTCAAGTGTGGTACAAGTACCGCTCGTCTTGCAACTAAGGCTGAACGATTTTCCGACACATCATCCTAATCGCAAGCCCCCCACCCACCCCGGCACGGGGACGTACACCGGCACGGGAATGGGGAGGACCATAACCTTAGGTATGGACAAATCTACAGGGACAAGAGCAAGTGGGTAATGAAGGCAAATGTGCCATTTCATATCTTCAAGTGTGGTACAAGTACCGCTCGTCTTGCAACTAAGGCTGAACGATTTTCCGACACATCATCCTAATCGCAAGCCCCCCACCCACCCCCCCATCCTTTCCAAAATTGCAAGTGCGATCTGTTTGCGACTGTAAGCGGACCTGTCTGCGCCTCGACGTCGACCGTCTGCGTCCGACAGGAGACGCCCTTGTTCTGCACCAGCGGCTTGCACAGCAGGGCCTTGTTCTTCATGCTTCTCGAAGTGCTGACAGAAATGGGCGTGGGCGTGGAAGGAGACGGCCTCTTTCTCTCTGGACTGTCGTTAATGATGATCTGGTGACAGAGGGGTGGGGGAAAAAAAGTAATAAATAAAACTCACTAGGGGGACTTATTTGCGTTTTAAGTAGAATGTTGACCGGTTGCTTACCAGATCAGGGTCTGTTTGTGAGTCAGAACCTACAGACAGGAAATGAAAAAAAAAAAGATTCAACTGTTTGGTTTTTTTTTTTTTTTTTGCTCTAATTCAAAGGACATTGTGCTGCGCTTTTGGTGTGTGTGTGTCCTGGCCACTTGGGGGCAGTATTTTACAGACATAGGAATATACATAAATGACACTGTCACTACTGCTATGCAAACTGGAGTAATGTCAGGCGCTCTTTGCAGATGACAAAGAATATATGATTGTGAGTATTGTTATCCCGTCTGTCTACAGGCGTTGGGCTACTTCTGCTAGCATCGAGCTAAACGGACAAAGCTAAAGCTACGTGGCTGCTTTCAACACACATGGAATTCTCTTTGTTTGATGTTCAGTTTGACAGTAAACGCCAATTGGGAGCGTCAATTAACTGCTTGAATTCAACATTAGCGTGTCAGTGGTGTTTCACATTATATGCTAGCATTAAGCTTTTGTTATTGTTAAATGTTGTTATGGTTTAGTGTTAAATAGACAATGTTTTTTTCCCATATTTTGTGTGTGAATTTTACAGTAAACTTCAACTGGTGTTGAGAAATAACTTTACCTCTTGTTCGGGGACCTGTGGAAGTGAGCGAGTCCTCTTTTCGTTTCCTCAAACTGATTTGATAGTCTCCTGTTTCGTGAAAGAAAGAGAATAAGTACAGGCACTAAGCAACGAATCGAAAAAGTCTGTTTGAAATCGGTTTTCAAACTTTAAGTGTGTTTTAACACGTTTTAAGCACGGGTGATGGCAAACTCAATTTCTCTTTGCGGTGTCATATCAACCAACTCAAGCATTTCACCATCGGCAGAGGTGTGTCATTTTTGCAGTGCGTACTTTGCTTGGTGGGCTTGTCGGGAGTGGCACGGCTTGCCTGGTCCTGGCACGCGAGTGAGACTACATTGGCGATGACGGGCGAGTCTGCAACCACAGCACAGGCGGCGTTCAATGCATGCTAGCGTTTGATGCGCTGGCGCGCGAAAAGGGGCAACGGCGGCCGGCCCACCTGGCGGGAAGACGTCGCCCTGCGTCTTGATCTGGCCGTTGCAGAAGTGGAACAGACACGGCAGGTCGCAGAAGTTGCGCAACTCTCCCAGCATGAAAAGACTGTGCTTCAGTTTGCCTTTGCGGCCGCACGAGGTGCACTTGGCAACCTGGCGGGTGGCAGAGAACTCAAAGTTACAAAGCCACAAATGAATTGGGAGTATATTTTTTTCTTATACAGTCCCATCCCTGATATAGACAATAAATATGATGTCAATATTTTTTTTTTTGGGGGCGGATGCGAGACTTACATGGCAGAAGAGCATGGTGTAATTGGACCTGCACACCTCGGAGCAGAACTCCTCGCTAGACTCGCCGTAGAGCGCCTTCTCCACTTTCTTGGAGACACACTGGCAATACGAGCACGATTTGCAGTGCTTGCCCCAGCGTGCGTCCAGGTCATGCTCGTACAGCAGCTTGCAGCCTGCCGTTGACCGGCGACCAACGTAAAAAGAGGAGTCGAGGCGAGACAGCGGTCGAGACGCCGGGCGGTGACTCACCGGCTCGTCTTGCAACTAAGGCTGAACGATTTTCCGACACATCATCCTAATCGCAAGCCCCCCACCCACCCCCCCATCCTTTCCAAAATTGCAAGTGCGATCTGTTTGCGACTGTAAGCGGACCTGTCTGCGCCTCGACGTCGACCGTCTGCGTCCGACAGGAGACGCCCTTGTTCTGCACCAGCGGCTTGCACAGCAGGGCCTTGTTCTTCATGCTTCTCGAAGTGCTGACAGAAATGGGCGTGGGCGTGGAAGGAGACGGCCTCTTTCTCTCTGGACTGTCGTTAATGATGATCTGGTGACAGAGGGGTGGGGGAAAAAAAGTAATAAATAAAACTCACTAGGGGGACTTATTTGCGTTTTAAGTAGAATGTTGACCGGTTGCTTACCAGATCAGGGTCTGTTTGTGAGTCAGAACCTACAGACAGGAAATGAAAAAAAAAAAGATTCAACTGTTTGGTTTTTTTTTTTTTTTTTGCTCTAATTCAAAGGACATTGTGCTGCGCTTTTGGTGTGTGTGTGTCCTGGCCACTTGGGGGCAGTATTTTACAGACATAGGAATATACATAAATGACACTGTCACTACTGCTATGCAAACTGGAGTAATGTCAGGCGCTCTTTGCAGATGACAAAGAATATATGATTGTGAGTATTGTTATCCCGTCTGTCTACAGGCGTTGGGCTACTTCTGCTAGCATCGAGCTAAACGGACAAAGCTAAAGCTACGTGGCTGCTTTCAACACACATGGAATTCTCTTTGTTTGATGTTCAGTTTGACAGTAAACGCCAATTGGGAGCGTCAATTAACTGCTTGAATTCAACATTAGCGTGTCAGTGGTGTTTCACATTATATGCTAGCATTAAGCTTTTGTTATTGTTAAATGTTGTTATGGTTTAGTGTTAAATAGACAATGTTTTTTTCCCATATTTTGTGTGTGAATTTTACAGTAAACTTCAACTGGTGTTGAGAAATAACTTTACCTCTTGTTCGGGGACCTGTGGAAGTGAGCGAGTCCTCTTTTCGTTTCCTCAAACTGATTTGATAGTCTCCTGTTTCGTGAAAGAAAGAGAATAAGTACAGGCACTAAGCAACGAATCGAAAAAGTCTGTTTGAAATCGGTTTTCAAACTTTAAGTGTGTTTTAACACGTTTTAAGCACGGGTGATGGCAAACTCAATTTCTCTTTGCGGTGTCATATCAACCAACTCAAGCATTTCACCATCGGCAGAGGTGTGTCATTTTTGCAGTGCGTACTTTGCTTGGTGGGCTTGTCGGGAGTGGCACGGCTTGCCTGGTCCTGGCACGCGAGTGAGACTACATTGGCGATGACGGGCGAGTCTGCAACCACAGCACAGGCGGCGTTCAATGCATGCTAGCGTTTGATGCGCTGGCGCGCGAAAAGGGGCAACGGCGGCCGGCCCACCTGGCGGGAAGACGTCGCCCTGCGTCTTGATCTGGCCGTTGCAGAAGTGGAACAGACACGGCAGGTCGCAGAAGTTGCGCAACTCTCCCAGCATGAAAAGACTGTGCTTCAGTTTGCCTTTGCGGCCGCACGAGGTGCACTTGGCAACCTGGCGGGTGGCAGAGAACTCAAAGTTACAAAGCCACAAATGAATTGGGAGTATATTTTTTTCTTATACAGTCCCATCCCTGATATAGACAAGTTATAAAGCCTCAAATGAATTGGGAGTATTTTTTTTTCTTATACAGTCCCATCCCTGATATAGACAATAGATATGATGTCAATATTTTTTTTTTGGGGGCGGATGCGAGACTTACATGGCAGAAGAGCATGGTGTAATTGGACCTGCACACCTCGGAGCAGAACTCCTCGCTAGACTCGCCGTAGAGCGCCTTCTCCACTTTCTTGGAGACACACTGGCAATACGAGCACGATTTGCAGTGCTTGCCCCAGCGTGCGTCCAGGTCATGCTCGTACAGCAGCTTGCAGCCTGCCGTTGACCGGCGACCAACGTAAAAAGAGGAGTCGAGGCGAGACAGCGGTCGAGACGCCGGGCGGTGACTCACCGTGGCTGCAGAAGGAGCAGTCCTTCCCGTTGATGCGCTTCACCTCTCGGCTGATCTTGTCCATCTTGCAGTACTCGCACTTGGCGCTGATGTTTTTGCTCGTTTTGAACTCCAGGGCGCAGCTCCAGCTGCAGACAAACACCACCTTGTCCTGCGCACGCAGTCGGTGGAGGACTTAAATGGCTTACGAGCGACAGAGGATGCTCATTCAATAAAAATTCGGGTATGAAGAAAATCATGGACAAATTTGACAAGCTGACATGATCATGAATGAAAGTCATCAAACTTCCAACCAGGAGTTCAGAACATGCAAAGAGAGCTTCACCCATCCCCTTATGTGTGTGTGTCTAGGTGTGTGTGTGTCTTGGCACCTTGACGTGGATGACATCGGGCTTGGCGGTCATTTGGCGGGCGCACTGGGCGCAGTCAAGCGTGGCCGAAGCGGCTTGCGGCAGCGGCGGCGTGGTGCTCGGCTCCTGAGAGGACGCCACCGGCAACTTTGGGAAAATGGTCATCTGCTTCTGTTTCATCTTAAACTTCTCCTACAACCACATGCCACGTTTACATTCAACACAGCCATGAGATATTCAGCGGTCGGTCGCACGCCCCGTGGATACCTGAAAGGCCATCACGCACGGCAGTGTGCAGAAGTTTCTGATGGTGGTGTCGGACATGGCCAGGTGGTACGCCGGCAGAGCATTCTTGCCGCAGTTTTCGCAGTTCAGGTGTGTGCCTGGTGGGCGGGGAAACACCACTGTCAAGATTATTGGTGCCCAGGCACTATGTTGATGTGAGTTGAGGAGCTTCCGTTCCACAAAAGTAGCACTTCACTGCCGACCTGTGGCATCTTTGTGCCAAGGAACAATGTGGAAGTCCGTCAAGGAGCCGAATTTCGACTTAAGTGGTGCTTTGACACCAACTTGGTGGTGAAGAACTATGTTGAAGTGAGTTGAGGTGCATATCATTTAGACAAGAACAGCAAAAATCACGCTTTGCCGTCATATCTGATACCTGAGGAGGTGACACTCTGGACCATGAAGGCCATGATGCAGCTGCTGCTGCAGTAGAGGCTCACGGAGTCATCGGTGTTGCTTTTGTTGTGGAACATGTCGGCGAGCGGCCGCGGGGAGCGACACATGGCGCACGGCAGATTCATCTTAACTTTCTTTTACCATAAAAGAAGAACAAAATATTTGAGTAGGGTTGACTTTTGAATTGAAAAGGGTTACTGGGTGTCTTATGAACATGGCCGCACTTTTCCTGCGTACCTTTTTGTACTTGATGAGGCAGTCGAGGTTGCACAGTGTCTTGCTGCTGCCCTCCATCTTGAGCAGCAGCGGCCTCACGTGGCAGATGGAGCCGCAGTTGGCGCAGCCCGCCATGGTCAGCTGATTGGCGGTGCGGAAAAGCTTGAAGCACGAGTCGCTACACATCTTGTGGACGACGCCGCTAAGGACGACCTCGTGCTTGCTCTGGTGGGGGGAAAACATTTAATAATAATTCAATCAATAAATCAATAAATAATATTCAAACGGTCACCTACAGAATGAAGGGAAATTAGGGGTGGGGGAATTGAGTTTATCAATTTCATCAAGTTGGTCCGAACAATTTTTTCTTGTAATCGTTTCTTTATTTGTGTGCTTCTTGTTTTTTTTGGAAGGAAACCAATAAAACTAATTAGGCATAAAAGCAGGTGTAAAAACTAAATTATAATATAATGAACAAAAAAGTTTTAAAATATCATAATATATTATAGTGTTATTTTTCTGATTTTCAAAAAACGGATTAATGGCTTTTCTATTCATTTCAATGAGGAAAGATGACTTGAGATGCACTCATTTGGAATTTTGAGCATGGTCACGAAACGAACTCGCATATCTTTTTTTGAACGCATTATTCCCGTGCTGCTCTTGCGTGTCCGCATTGACTTACAATGTCGTATTTGGCGCACATGCTGCACACCGACTGCAGTTTGACGTCGGAAGAAGCAAGCGCCTTGGCATCAGCGCTTTTGTTGAGGGTGAACGCGCTCAGGCACGGTTCGCTGCAGAAGCCCCTCATCAAGCCGTCCACATCCGGAGCCAGGATGATATCCTGAGGGCGGGATATGCGCCTAGTGGACAGAGACAGACAGCCTTTAGTGTAAAAAGAAATCCATATGGGTCTTTCCCTAATGCCGACAATCACTTTTGACAACGGTGACAGGTCTTGACGCTTTTGGAAGAGCTGAGCGAGGAGGTGAGGCAGCCGGTGGAGCAGAAGAGCGCTGGGGAGCCTTTGCGCTGGTACGCCGTCTGCCCCTTGAGCAGCCCCTTCTGGCAGTGCGCGCACAACATGTTCAACGTGGACGAGGACGACGACGGTCGACCTCGTTGCCTTCGACCGCTGCCGTCCGGCATCACGGAGTACACGGATTCAATCTGCAAGTCCTCCTCCTATCAAGACAAGGGTGAAGACGTCAGCGTCGTTTTAGCAGCCAACTTGGGCTACATATAAGATATTTTGCAGTATGTGTAAGCAGCACAGTGGTCGGTAATCACCACTGGAAAGAAACTAAAGCGAGCGTGCCTTAGCAGCAACGGGCTCGTCCTTTACAGTGGACGTGCCGGACACAAGCGCTAGCTCGTACTCCTCATCCTCGGGCTCGTCCTTGATTTTGATGGGAGTCGGCGAGCCGGCGATGGGAGCCGGCGAAGATGATGAAGAGGAACTGGAGGCGGAGAGCTTGATCACTTTCATCCCATTGGTCATGTCGGACGTTGACGGTGATACGGACGCTGACACACGAGAAAAAGAAAACACCGTCAAATTGACGAAAATAAATGTGAGTGAAATATTTCAATCATATATGACAGATTAAATTTGTTGTTTTTAGGGCCCAAGCACTTGGGATATTTATTGATTGTACTACTTGTTTTTCTTTGATTTTCTTTTACCTACCATAAGTGGACCTTGCACAGAGCCCTGCACCACACCAAGGTGAGCAGATAAATTGTCAAAGCATACACCATTATACCTCCAGCATTTTTGGTAGTCTGAGAGTTACAATCATCCAAATTCTATATTTGGGAAAAAAAAATAAATAAAATTAAAAAAAAAATTATAATAATAATACAACCATGAAAGATTTTGCTCTGTGCCTGGTGTTGACTTTTTGGGGAATTGAACTGCTGAAATAATGGACAATACAAATCCACATAGAGTTACACCCCTGTTACAAACCAACGGGGGTGCTGCATTATGAAACGTTGGGGTGTGGCTTACTTGTGGCTGCTCTGCTTCTGGAGCGAGTGGCGTAGAAAGGCACAGACTCCTCTTCTTTCTCCCCCTTCTCCTCCTCTATCCTCTCATTATTCTCATTTACTTCCTCCTCCTCCTGCTGCTGCTGCTCTTTCACATCCTCCCCCACCTTCTCTTTCGCCTCCTCCCGCTCCTTCTCGTTCTCCTCCTCCTCCCGCTCCTTCTCGTTCACCTGCTCCCGCTCCTTCTCGTTCTCCTCCTCCCGCTCCTTCTCGTTCTCCTCCTCCCGCTCCTTCTCATTCACCTCCTCACGCTCCTTCTCAGTCACCTCCTCCACCTCCTTCTCCGTCACCTCCTCCACCTCCTTCTCTGTCACCTCCTCCATCTCCTTCTCTTTCACCTCCTCCACACTCCCATCTTCCTTTTTCTCCTCCTCCTTCTCCTCTTTTTTTTGTACTTCTTCATCCACTTTCATTCCGACATTAGGTTTCATGTCAGTGTCTAGCTCGTTTTGTGCCGCCTCCTCCTCCTCCTCCTCCTCCTCCAACACTGGGAAAGCGCAAATAAAAATCACGTACAGTTTTCCGACACAATATTGTTAATACTTATCTTGAGAAAAATACAGATGTTCAAAGATTTCACAAAAGTCTGAATTTGCAGTTGCATGCTTTCAGTGTAGTGCAACGTTATGCCACACATGCCAATGAGTGCTGAGCACTTCTGGGCGAATATGTGCCTGTGAGTATTGTTGGATGTTCTGTTTGCGTGTTTGAAGCAAGCACGCTGCACCTCTCATTTGAAGAAGTGTGCGAGTGAGATGGTGAGAACAGGTTAAGAAGCTAAATGTGTCTTAAGTTCAAGTGAGTTTCAAAAAGTTGAAGTTGCTTCAAGCGTGTGGGAGAGGGTAAAATTGAACAAAATAATTTTCTTTTAGATCTGTCTAAATCATGTCTTCTTCTAAAGAAAAAAGAATAAATCGGGAATTTACATCTGTGTTTATACCTGTGGTGCTGTTGTTATCATCTGTGCACATCTGAGCTTCCTGTTCTTGCTGGTCCACAGTACCGATGTCCATCATCTCATCGAGGCTGAACGAGGCGGAACAAGTGCCTTTGCCGATTGTCTCCTCCGGGTCCGAGTCCTTCACCTGCACAGGAGTGGCTTCCATCTCCTCTACATCCTCCACGTCATCATCATCTTTCTCGCTGGCTAGGCCTCCTTCCTCGGTCTCGTCTTCTGAGTGGGACGGCGAGGCGTTCAAGGGCTCCATGCGACACGGAACTAGCGGGGTCTCGATGTCTTTAAGTTCAAACTTGCTCTCTTCACTTTGGTTTGGGAGGGAGCTTCCACCTTTGGCTAGAGCTTCAGTTCCCGTGTCTTCTGTTTCCTGCGCACCACCAAGAACATATACCAAAATTTTTAGGACTGCGAAATGCATGAACTCACCCTTATTTCTTCCTCGTCTCTCTTGTAATGGATATACAACTTTTACATCGTGCCCCGAAAAGTCCAGACTCTGAACATATCAGAGAAATACCTTTTATTACAGGCTACATTTAATTAAAATGTGTGGCAAGAGTTTGAGAAAAACATGCAGTTGGATTTTAAAGTGTCAGTTACGACAAGTTGTTATTCTCCAAAGTGTTTGCGTGAAACCTTAGCAGGATGAGTGATCAGGCAAAACATTTTATTTTCAATACGATTCCAATTAAACCATACGGTATTTAAAAATAGCACAATAATTAAATCATTGCACTTAAAAAATGAACGAGATGATCAACATATAGGTATTTTTTTTGCACATATCTGACATCCAAAAGCAATCATTACGACTTCTCGTCCCTCAGCATTCACACGTTGTCATTTACAAACAAGCTGGTGTCAGATCAAGTAAAATAATTATATCACATCTCGAAAAGTCAATATAGTTATCACAAATGAACTAATACAATACAATACATCCTGATTGATGTAGCGCTTTCACAACAGCTGCAGCTGTAACAAAGCGCTGAGCAAAAGAGTTAACATAAAGTAAAATAATAAACACAATAACTAACATAAAAGCACGTTAGTAGGGAAAATGTCGGCTTTTTACCACTGGTAGTTAAATATAAATACAACCACGCTGACCAGTCTAAATTCAACACACTTCAACGAGACTTCATCAGACAAAAACTCAAGTGCACCTAACAACATTGTTATTGTCGCTGACTTAACCACTGGTGCACCGCGCGACTAGCTCGACTCATGCTAAGCTAATGCTAGCATCCTGGCCAAGGTGTACGTACGCTTTGATGCTAACGAGCTTTACAAGCTAAGCGTGGTCGAGTTTTACAAACATGAACTTGAACATAAAGTCCAAGGAGACACAGACAAATGGATGAATGCATTCATTGGATAAATGCGTTCTGACTCCAACCGTGTTATCGGTCATTTGCGACGGCGTGCCGGAGCTCGATTACCGCAAGTCGCACTTCATCGGCGGCCGGATGCCGTCGTCCATCGCCAGTTTCCATTGCCTCCATGTTCGCTGCCAATGCAGAACGCTCGGGTCGTGCATAAAAAGACGACTCAAAGCATTTAATTGATTTGCAAGAGCGGGTGCACCCTTCAATCAGAACCAAAGGACCATCCTACGATGGGGATGTTGCTAGCTTGCCTGGCGCTTCCTTCTTTGCGTGTTTACCTCTGGTTATAGGCAAAAGGAAATCATTCATTGGAGCCCCTCGTGGACAGAAGACGAAACTCATCATTCATGCCACTTAAGTCTTTTTTTTATTCTGTCACACTGCTTTGCTCAAATGAAATAAAAAGTTTGGTTGTATGAATGGTGTTAACAGTTATTGCGCGTGAAAAAAGGAGGACTGATGCACTTCACCCCAACTACCAGGATAAAGCATTGCCTTCAAGGAATGCCAATTACCCAATGAAATGAGGTTTAGAATTTTGATTGTTTTCACTTGGGTGGTTATTTGTGACATATTCTACACCAATCTTAACATTTAATAATTACACTCAACAAGATCACTGAAAATGCATATTTATTGTATCCTTACTGACATCACTATAGTAGATAACTGAGAAGTGTCATTTTTCAGGAATCTATGCTAACATGTAAAAGATTAAAAAAAAACAAAACAAAACATTGATTTTGTAGTTCTTGATAAAATTAGTGGTTAAGGAGGCCTAAGACACTGTCGGCCCGACCCGCAGGCACATCTGCCAGCCGATTGGCGTCTTCCTTTCTCAGTCTCAGCGAAGCCATTTTAGCCTCCGACTCATCCATGAAGCCTTCGTCTAAAGACTTGGTGTCTGTTTCCTCCTCCGCGGGCAAGAACACGTGGAGCTGAGGGCGAACCGGACCCGTGACGGGACGCTGGTTGCAGTTCAAAACGCATGGTTTCCCGATGACGGACAGCATCTCCGTCTTGTGGCTGCGCATGGCCAAAGGCCCGGAAGGTCCCAATGGTCCGAAGGGTCCCAGAGGGCCCAGGTCTCCGGTGGTGGCCAGCATGTGCGAGCGAGGCCTGGCAGGACGGGGCTTGGAGTTGAGGCGGATGGCCTGGGACAAGTGGATGTAGCTGGGCTGGAAAGAGGGTAAGTCTTTGTGAGTATGACTGGTTGCTGGTGGTGGGTGGACCTTGGAGTGGGTGCGAGACTTGCTAGAGTGAGGAGGGCGGACACAGCAAAAAGCTTCAAATGAGGTGATGTCCTTGGTGTGGTGCAGGGATGGCTCGCTAAGGCTGTGGAAACACAAAATGTCGACTATGACAGGATTTAATTCGATAAATGAACAGAGTGGGGAGGACAGTGGGGTAGTGGCGAGCACGTCTGTATGAATAATGCACATTATGAGCAATTATGACAACAAAAGGGAACATCACTTTCTCTGAAATAGGAGTGAAAAGTACGTCATGAGCTGTTCACTCGCTCAATTCCCCATCAAATCCTCCGCGGAGGGCTTTTTCTTTTGTGTGGGTGTACCACAGGGCGCCGCATCAAGCCCCATATCAGTTTCAAGTCCAGAGTCCTTTATCCTGTTGAGTGGCACACCGCACGCGTGGGGTGGGACGAGGCTATCAAAGGGTGCATGACAATGACTCTGTAATTCCAGCCATACGCTAAACTTGCCCTCTGTTGACACCAAATGCCGACGCGATGGAAAAGACAAGGTGGGGTCAATGGCGCTCAACGTCGCGAGGTGCCGAGTCAGCTCACTTTCACTGGGATTGGAGTTGGTCATACATATCTCCATCCATAAAACAGACACACATGAAGATGTTCCCAACTGTATAAGCTGCAGTGTAGTTTGTTTTTTTTTTGCCAGGTCCATCAAGGCCTTCTTGGATGAGGTTAATGCGGAGGAACGCAAATCAACACAACTCCCATTCTCAGTGTTCAACAGACACACATGAAGATGTTCCCAACTGTGTAAGATGCAGCGCAGTTTTTTTTTTGTTTTTGCAAGGTCCATTAAGGCCTTCTTGGATGAGGTTAATGCGGGGGAACGCAAATCAACACAACTCCCATTCTCAGTGTTTTAAATTTACCTGAGTCTAGTCATGTTGATGCCACGCTTGCCACCAGGTGCTGCGGTGGGCAGGCCGAGTGACGGCAGCCTCAGTGGGGTCTTCTCACTCCTGCGTAGCGGAGCGGTGGATCTCGGGTTCCAGGGCCCGCTGATGCCCATACTGAGCGAGACAGATGGTGGCGGGGGTGCACCAGCAATGCCACTCATGAATGCACAACCGTTACTGCCTAACACGGATCGCTTCAAGAACATGGATGGATGTGATGGTCCTCCTTCCGCAGAGCCCAGAGGGAAGTGAGCGTAGATGCGATCGTTGTGTTCCACCCGTGTGGGCAGCTGCTAGCATCAATGATTCACAAGCGCGATTAAAGATGGATGACAGCCAGTGGTCAGGTACAGTCCACCGCCGGTACTCAAATAGTTTCCCTCTACGGGATCTTAGCTCCAGTTATATTTGTTCACGCAGAAAATACGTGCCCGGGAGTATTATGGTCCGTTTTGTTTATGTGTTGATGCACAATGTGTTCAGTAACTTTTGGTTGAAATTTTTAAAACGACCATAGCATCTGTTCATTTCTGTTTATGTTAACAGTAAGCTATCAGACAAATATATCGCGTCCGTCTCGTGGATTTTCACCTCGCGTGTGGGTCTGGAATGTATCCATAGCAATACACTGTGATTGGATGCACTGACTGTATGGGGAAAATAAATAAATAAATAAAAATCGTGGATTTATGGTTTGGCTGGAATCTAAAACTGCAACGCCAACTTGCAGGAGCTCCAGTTCAAGGTGTTTGGGTTTTAATCGCAGATAAGATGACCCTGAAGGTCAAGTCTTTTGACACGTCCGTGCGGTTTGAGTATCGCGTGTTTCGGTGTCAGGTCAGCGTGACTGAGAACCTACATGCGATCTGGCCACCGGGGTTGTGGCTCACCTAGCTTTGGTCTCTCTAGGCTGGACCTCCTTCGGAGAAATGCGGCACCTTCCAAACACACACTTTTGCGGAGATACTGGAGACGTATTTTGCTTCCAAGCGCCGTTGTTCAACTTACACATCGAAGAAAGGAGCGGAGACTGAAGTCTCAAGTGTAGCTTTTTATTTTTGTATTTCACAGCATCCACCCAGTCGTGTGTCCTACTGCATCATCGTCCGTGGAGTGATGCGTCCCAGCATGCACCTCTGCCAGGGAAGAAAAACACTCTTAGCAAGAGCTTTAAATTTATTAGGTACAGTATTCTATCCACACGCACCACTTTCATGGACATCCTTGTTGTGAGTGTGAACACAGGGCTTCCCCCAAGGTGTTGCAATCCCTGTGGTTGTTTCGGCATTTTATCAGTGACCATATTTCCCTGGGAAGCACAGAACATAACTACATATTACAACCACTTCTAGAGACTTCTCTTCAAAGTTTTTTTTTTTTTTTTTAAACTTAATCTACAAATAACCTGTTCGTTTCAATTTCATCGCGTCATAACATCCTGGGAACTTACCGTCATGGCGAGGTGGTGACACTGGTCACCCTCCGTCGGCCGGTGGAGGCTCCTGTGGCGAGACACACACACAGAGTGAGAAGCTGACAAGGAAAGTAAAAACAAAAATGGCAGCTTGTGAATATTTTGTGTGCGTGCGTGTGTGTGTGTGTGTGGGCACATCAGTGTAAAAAGGTTACGATATGAACATGCATTATACGAGAACTGTTAATGTCGTCTATGTGAGACGGCCACGTGGTCACACCACACAAGTCCCTGAGTCTGCAGGAACTTTTTTGGGGGGAGCGGGGGACAAAATTGACATGTACGTAAGGCGAGAAAATGCACATTGGGAAAAGCAAAAATAATTTGCTTCAAAATGGCACATCAGTAGAAAGAATGAGGAAAAACAAACCAACCCCCCCCCCACCCCCCGAAGAAGCCTTTTACGTAAAGGTTGATCCTAATCGGCATTTACAGTGCTTCGGGATTGTTGCTAATTGGTGAAATTGTGCGGTGTGACCTTGGCTAAAGTTGCAAAGTGTCATATGGGGGCATGAGAGTGGCACTACTGTTCATATCTTATCTTATCAGAGGTGGGAGTCAGTCACACAAGTTCTCATTTAGTCTCAGGTCTTAAAGTCACTGTGATAAAAACGAAGCAAATTGCTTTGAGTCCTCACTAAATTGCAAGCGAATAGTCAAGTATTTACTTGGGTTAAAAAGGTGGAGTTTGCAGTTCCAAAAATAAATCAATACTCCACCTACTGGCAAGTCATAAGTCCTGCATGCATTCCATCATTTGGATATTGGCAAGTCTGCACTCAACATCTGTGCTTGCCTGAATTTCTTGTACTGTTTTTTTTTTTTTAAATCAACATATTAAAAAAAAAGTTTCTGTAATGTCTACTACGGTCATCGATGCAGAACAGACCTGAAGCCCAATTAATGTTGGATAAGCTCTCGATGAGCTTCGGTCAACATATTTTATCCATCGCTGTGATTTTTATCGTGACAGATGGACGTTAGATGTAGTATGTTTTTTTTTTTTTTTTTAAACGTTTTAGTGAGCCCTGCAAAACGAGGTGGGCGGCAGAACAGAAGCTTCGTGCGCGCTTCCCCAAAAAGAAACGTCAAAAACAAAAAAAAAAAAGGCACGACTTGTCAAAAGTCATGTTGGTTACGTCAGTCGAGTCTCAATACCAAGTCAGTTTTGAAACAATCTTTTCAATTCCATCCAAACGAGGTCCGAGTCTTAAAATCGATTACTAAAGTCTGACTCCAGGTCAAGTCATGTGACTTGAGGCCCCGCCCTCCCTCACCTCTGCTGTTCACTTGTCAAGCTGCAAGGATATGTGACAAAAGTTCAGACCACGGTCCCCGACCCCCCCGGGTATGGTGCAAGTTACGCTACCACGCCAAGTGGCAACAGAGCTTTTCTCCCCCCCACCCCACCCCCGCAACAGGCTAGGTCATTTTTTGCGTAACGGTTGGCTTGCCATCCGTGGCCGCGAGGGTAGTTCTGGCATCACACTGGCGTTTTGAGTCATAGGACACCCGACAACTGTCTCGAGCGATGAGCTGTGAGAAAGGAAATGGATCACAGTGCAGAGTGACAGGTTCTCGACAGCGAATACAGCGCGGTACCTTTCAAACCAGACAATCACAACGGCCACCCCGTTGGTGCGAGAAT